AGCTAAAACTAAAGAAAACTAAAACCTAAAGTAATTCTAAATACCATTGTTACAACTCTATTCCTAGTTTTTGCATAATTCCAGGGTGATATGAGACTCTCCTCTCCAACCCCGTCGCCCCCTCCCTTCGTTCCCCAGAGCCCATGCTGGATCCACCTATGAGCATGCCGAACAGGCACTGTCAGCATATTTGAATTTTTTTGATGCGGCAGATGTTTTCTATCAAAATTTCTGTACTTTGATTTTTTTATACCATACCTTTTTTCAGATTGTTTCTGAACGCAGTTTTACAAAAGTCTTGCACCAGTGCTTTGAAGAAATCGAAAAAGCGCTTGTTGTTGGACGGCAAGAACTTATAACAATTTCAGCTAGCTGTAAAAATATTAATTTGAATAGTTACTAACTATCCCTCCTCCTCACTAATTTTGATTAATTCACTTTTATTTTGTCTATTTTTTAGTTGTTTTGTTATTTTTCGGTATGTTGAAAATATTTTCGTTTTTCCCCTTTTTTTTTGCAATTTTTATACCTATATTTGTTAAAATGTTTCAAGATAATCTCTAAGTACCTGTCATAGAAACCATCTTGTTTATTTTTGTGTTATTTTGATATTTTTGGCCTATTATTATTTTCTTGTCTTTTTTATACCTTTCGGTGTCTGTATTTGTAAAAACGGTCCAACAATAATCTCTAAGTACCTGCCACGGATACCCGGAACGAAAAACCCGGAAAAATTGGGGAAATTTTGCACTTTTGTTAAAGCAGAAGTTCCGGTACTAGCATATATGCAAATCCGATATCCCAGTTTACATAGGTAGATCGCGTATGTAAGCGAATGTTTTTTTCTCATTGAAACTGTTTTTTAGCTTCCAATGGCTTTTTAGTTCCCTTATTCTTTCCAGTCCTTCATTTCGATCGCTTTCCCCATACCTCTTTCATTGTGCTTTTTTTTGTTGGTGGTTTTTTTAAGTGGATTCCGTTTAGATTTCTTCCCAATCAAGCAAATGTATTAGTAAAAATTAAAAATGCAAAAAAAATTCAAATTAATATTAAAATGTCAAAAGTTAGCAATAAACATTAAAATTTTAATCTTAAAATGGTTTTTTTCAATAGATATCGAAATTAAAAAATTTGTATTAAAAATTTTTTCCTCGTTTATTGAACTTCAGAAATTTTTTTTTTTTATTGTTTGATACCCACTCTGCTTTTTTTGACATTTTTTTGTGTTTTAGCATCAT